GTTGAGTCTTTGACTTCTTTCCCGTACAAGCTTTCCATGGAGTCGTAGCATTGGTAGCTCCTTTGACAAATACAGCCTCTGACGCCATTTTTCTGCTGCCTAATTGGAGAGGAAACAGCGCTCAAGCGAAGCTCTCCGCGAAGAGAGCCATAGAGTACTGGGTGGGGGTTTCAACTTTCGAGGGAATGGTTCTGTTGGCCTCCTCTCCTCCGGTGTCTTATCCATTTCCGGTGATTTGCCACGTCAGAATAAATAGTCCGACGTGGCTTTTTTTCGCTGCAGACAGTGCTTTAAAACGAAATTTTCTATAATTTTTATATATTATTAAATAAATAAATATATTTAATATTATAATTTTTAAATAAATAAATTATTTAAATAATAAATAAATTTATATAAAAAACAATATAATAATGCATTTAAATGAATAGATGTATATTATATTATAAATTTAATTTAATTTGGTTAAGTAAAAAAATAAATTATCAAAAAATATATAAAGTTGTATAAAAAAATTATTTTTTAAATTATATTTTGAAATTAAATGTAATTATATATAGAAATTTGCCTAAAAATATAAAAGAGGATTGCGACACAAAAATTTTAAAATTGTATGATTAATATTTTTTTGTTTCTGATAATATGATTAATTTATTTATCATCTTAACATCAAAAAGGAATTTTTTATCATCTACCTCGAAAATTACAATATTTAAGAAACAATGAAATTATTTATCTTTAACAACTTTATTTTGGTTGGTTCAAAAAAAAAAAAAAAAAAAAAAAAAACAAACAAACAAACAAACAAACACAGAACCCTTTTTGGTTTTTTTGAAAAACTTCTTCACACTCTTCGCTAGTCAGAGCAACCTGTAATATTTATGCAGAATACCATTTTATCAGTAAAATGGCATCAATACCAGCCGCAGACACAACTTTATGAATTCATCGCGAGGAGTAGAATACAAACTAGATAATAGTTTTTATTGCAAGAAAAGATGAATCAGAAAGGATACACTATAGATAGCAATAATATTGATAAACATATCCAAACTAAATGATCAGAAACTCAGACCTTCTTCCACCCCATGTCCAACTCCAATCAGTTCTCCTAAACTTATCATTGAAAATGGCTTTGGCAGAGGAGATGGTGGACCACTGTTAAGGGCTTGATAAACTTGGTGCATGGTGGGTCTAAATTGGGGATTGATTTGCAGACACATAAATGCTAGCCTTGTTGTAAAAACCACTTGCTCAGCCACTTGATTCATTCTTTGAGGTTGGAGGCGCTGATCTACAACGTCATTCAATAGCATTTGCTGGACATTTGGTGTCCATAAACCCAAGGTCATATTACCAGGATGTCTTCCCATAAGTACTTCCATTGTTACCACTCCAAAGCTATACACATCACACTTCTCACTTAATTGCATTGTATAAGCTAGCTCTGCAAATAAAGCAAGTCTAATCAGTCATAGAACAGTATGATGATTACAAGTGTTTATTAGGTGATATCATGTGAAATACCTGGAGCTGTGTAGCCAAAAGTGCCTGAAAATGATGTCCAGTTAGAGGACTCTGGCTTTAAAATTCTAGCAGTGCCAAAGTCAGATATATGAGCTTCATAATCCAGATCCAACAAAACATTGTTGCCAGAAATGTCAAGATGGATTATTGGTGATTGGCGATCATGGTGCATGTAAGATAATGCACTAGCTACCCCTTTAACAATGTTTAGCCTCTTATCCCAATCCAACTCTCGAGCTTCTTCTGGGTTGCTTAAAACCTTTTTCAAGCTCCCCCTTTCGACAAACTCATAAACTAGGAATGAGTGCTCAGCATTAGAACAAAAACCATACAACTTCACAATATTTCGATGTCGTATATTTGCTAAAACACGAATCTCACTTTTAAATGTTTGTAGAGGGAAGGATTGATTGTCATCTGATGGATGAAGCTTCTTCACGGCAACCACCCGACCTGTTGGCAACACAGCTTTGTAAACATTACCATATCCTCCTGATCCAATGCAACAGGAGGAGTCAAATTGCTCTGTAGCTTCAATGATGTTTTTATAGAGGATTTCCCCATCATATCCCCATATGGCAAAAATTTCTTGAGATTTACCCTCTCTTGTTGGCTCATTTTTTTTGCGATAAATATGAAAACACCCCACTAAAATAAATAAGAGAAGTAGACCACCCAAAACAGGTATAACAATTAAAAGCACAAGTTTGCTGGAACTTCTCTTTAGGCTTTTGAATGCACAAGGCTCTAGGCCAGTGGCATTACCGCATAGGCCTTTATTGTTTCTAAGAGCATCAAAGGGGGCATCAAGGAAGGCTTTGATGTGGGGAATAGGGCCCTCCAACTGATTGTAGGAAATGTCAACATTTGTTAAGTTCTGCATATCATCAAAAGTATGAGGAATAAAACCAGAGAGCATATTATGAGAAAGATTTAGTGATTCTAATGTATGCGATCTTCCAAGGTCCTGTGGAATCTCTCCTATTAGCATATTCCTACTCAAATCAAGAGTTTGGAGTGCAGATATGTTGTGTATTTCAGATGGAATGTTTTCCCCAAATTGGTTCTTGCTCAAGTTCAAGCTCAATAACTTCCAACACATTCCAAGTTGTTTTGGAATTGATCCATTTAGATTGTTTGCTGCCAAGCTAAGATATTGCAAATCAGATAGTTCTCCAAGCTCCGAAGGGATTTTGCCAAAGAGTTGGTTATCATTTAACCAAAGGTTTACCAATGATGTCAACCTACTTAATTCCTTAGGAATCTCCCCCCTTAGATGATTCAAAGAAAGATCAAGCAGATGTAATTGTGTGGCTTGAGCTAGCTCGGGTGGTATCCTCCCAGAAATGTTATTGTTGGAGATTTTCAAGCTTGTGAGGTTATGACACGAACCCCAATTTGGAGAAAGTTCACCATACAACTTGTTATCACTCAAATCGATAAAAGACAAGTTGGGATATATGCCAAAAGCTTCTGATACATTCCCTTCAAGTTGATTCCCTTCAAGCCTTGCCCTGTATAAGCTATTGCAGTTTCTCAAACTGGTTGGAATGGAGCCGATAAAATGGTTGTTTGCTACCGACAAATATTTGAGAAATCCCCCAAGGCACATATTCTCAGGTAAATGCCCAATAAATTTGTTATTTTCTAATTGCATATTTTCCAAAAGAGTAATATTATTAATTTCTATAGGAATAGGACCAGATAAATTGTTGTAAGCCAAATGGAGTACTCGAAGATATTTAAGTAATCCTAACTTTGATGGTATTGAGCCAGAAAGTGTGTTATTGAAGACATTAAAAATAGATAAATTGGTTAGGTTTCCTATGGAAGCAGGGATTGTACCAAAGAAATTGTTATCAGATAGAACAAGTTCACTCAAAGATTTAAGCAATCCTATTTCTGAAGGTATTGAGCCAAAAAGCATGTTATCATAGAGATAAAGAATGGATAAATTAGTAAGATTTCCTATGGAAGCAGGGATACCATCTTTAAGATTGTTTTTGAATAATTGCAAGGTGGAGAGTGATTGAATCATTCCAATTTCACTAGGAATAGAACCAGACAGTTGATTGACATAAAGGTTAAGATACCTTAAATTGCTTAAATTTCCTATTGACGCAGGGATCAATCCAGTTAGGGAGTTCTTAGAAAAATCAAGCGAAACAAGAGATCTCATCATTCCAACATCTTGAGGTATAGAACCATTAAGCCTATTGTCTTTAATCTGAAGTTCAAACAAATTGCTCAAATTTCCTACAGAAACAGGAATTGACCCAGTGAGTTGGTTGTTATTGAGGTGGAGTATAGAAAGTGAACTCAACCTTCCTATATCCTTAGGAATAGAGCCGCTGATATTATTTCTTTCAAGGGAAATGAAGCTTAGACTCAACAACAATCTTATTTGAGAAGGAATATTTCCAGAAAATTTATTATAAGACAAGTTGAGATTAGTGAGTTTGGATAGGTTAACAATGTGGGAAGGAATGCCACCATAGAGTGAGTTATTACCAAGATGAAGTTGCACTAGGTTGGGGAAGGCCACGGAGTTAAGGTTGTGAAGTGTACCTTTGAGACCAAAACTTGGAAGGCTTATGTTGGTGACGTTTCCAGCTTTATCACAGGCAATTCCAATCCAACTGCAAGGACTATCCCCAACCCAAGAAGAGAGGAAGCTTTGGCTTTGGTGGTCGAGACTAGCTTTCCATTTGAGAAGAGTTTCTGTCTGATTAAGAGTTAAAGTGATGGAAGAAGCAGAAG